GTTGGTTGCTTGGTTGCTTGGTGGCTTGGTTGCTTGGTTGCTTGGTAGGTTGCTTGGTGGCTTGGTTGCTTGGTTGGTTTGGTTGCTTCGTTGGTTTGGTTGCTTGATGTTGCTTGCTTGCTTGGTTGGTTGGTTGCTTGCTTGCTTGGATGGTTGGTTCTTTTCCTTTGTTGATGCGTGGGTCACCCGATGGTCACCCAGGGTTTGACATCGTGTCCAAAGCCTGCGCCAGGCCCGGCCCCAGCCCCGGCTCCAGCCCAGAAGCCCCCGGCGCCCAAGCCGGCGCCGAAGCCTTCAGGGGCGGTGGAGATCCCATCGGATCCCAGTCGGGGGCCCGAAGCACGTGTGTGAGGGATGGCTGGCTCTTGAAGTGAATTAACACGTATGGAATGGGGACCTATGTGTGTTTGTTTTCAAATCCGGGGGGGGGGTCCAAACAGTTGGTTTCTTCTTATTTTTTCTGTAATTCCCCCTCAAAAGCAACAACAACAAGACAAACAAAAGAGCCAAAGAGCAGGACTACAGGGAACCCTTCCGTGGTTTTCTCCAGTCGGGCGTGGATGCGGATGCCCCCCCCCTTCCCCCCTTATACCGCCGCGTTTTGAGGCAGCCTCAGCATCAAGGAGCTGAAGGAGCTGCTGTCGGCCCTGGGCATCGACCACGAGAACTGCTTGGAGAAGGCGCCGAGAGACGGGCCTTCCTTTGGTTGCCTGGGTGCTTGGCGCCCCGGGGTCGTCAGGGGCGACGTAGGGGAACCAAAAGTAATATGGGGTCCGGGAGGGGTAGCTACAGTTACAAGGAGCGAAACGCCTGGGATCCACTGGGTGGATCTTGGAAGCCCAAAGAGGTGTTTTTGGGAGTTGGTGCTCGAAATTGTGGGGATCTGAAGGGAGATCAAAGGAAAGCTTGGCATGCAAACACATGGGTTGTTTTTCCGATGTTTGCCGGCCTGCTGCAGTTTGCAGGAAATCCCCGAATCCCGTAGACAGGTGATGGAAATCCTTGATGTCCAAACAGCCATTCTCTTCAAAGGCTGTGTACTCCCATGTTGGTCGTGGCCCTGTTCACCGCAGGTTGGACAACCTCAGCTACCCTCTACTTGGATCGAATTGGTGGTTGGGATTTGTGGTTTGGGGGTTGGGGATGGTTTGTTTCCCGTTTGGCTTCAAAAACCACCAGGGGTTCAAACTTCCAAGCCGCCAATTAGGGGCCTGATTACTTTCTTGGGCTTGCCTGTATGTTCGGCTGGCGTGGAAAGTGGTGCCAGTTCAGCAGATGTTCGTTTTGGCCCTCGATGCCTTGTCAGGCGGACCTGCTGTCTTTGCTCCGGGACCGGAAGGACTGGGGGCTGGGGGCATTGTGTCTTCGCTCGCCAAGGTACTCTAGTGCTGCCACGCTTGTCCTCGGGCTAAGGCTGGCTTTTGGCGTTGTAAGATTGTGATGTCCAAATTCTACTGTAGGCTCACCTAATTTATTGACGTGTCATTCTTTTTGCTAATCAGTGATCAGGTTTACATGTTATTGATTCATGTGCGAGGCCGTCAAAAGGCCCTGGCACTTTCGGATGTATGTGCAAAGTTCTTTTTCCACCATGGAAGATCAACCAGCGCAAAAGATGAAAATAACACAGATGAAAGCAAGGGCCTGGGTTCGACATGTCTAGTTGTCGGGGATTTGAGACAAACCCAGGATTTTTTTGTTCATTCGGGATCTGATAGGAAGCCGCAATTAGTGGGTCGTTGACCAGTATAAGCCTTCACATTTCAGCATACTCCGTCAGGAGAAGCGCTCTGGCAACTTGGCCACATGCGGGATGTCAGCAAAAATGCCCTTTCCAGGACCGTTCTTTTTGGTTACTTTGTTGCGCCATTTTCCGGATGGCGCCACTGAGCTCTTGTAATATTGTGTGCGCCCCTCCTTTTTGGTGCCTGTTCACTGCTCCTGTCTACCGGGGTGTTGTGCCAAAGAATCCAAGCACCCCAGAAAGCAGCAACGCGCTCCATGGGATTACGTGCCCCTTTAGAGGCTAATCCAAAATCGCCTGCTTCACGCTGGCTTCCTGTTTCAGACTCCTGGCTGCGGGCAATCCAATCCAAATAAGATGGAGGCAGTGGGGAGTCCCAGAGATCCGCGGGCCTGGCCTCTTTGAGGTCTCAGTCTCTCGCCTCGTTGCGGCCGAGGCGAGCGGGAGTCCAGCGTGCCGCGGAAGCCGCCGCCCGCGCCGGCGCCCAGCGTGCCGCAGGCTGGGCGTTCGGTCGGGTTGGGGGGGGGGGTGGTTGAGGTGCGTGGGAGGGTCGCAAAAGAAGTCGTTCCACTTGGATGCAAATATGGCCCAACTGAAAGCCGATGCAACTGACGGTGGATCTGCCCCCCACTGTACAGATTGAAATTTGAGGCATGCCTTTTTTGAGACGACTTGTGGCACATCAGCCCAAAGATCCGATTTGCTTGAAACAGCCTCAAGCAAGCCCGGCTGGTCCACATGCGGGCAACGAATTTA